GGTAGAGCCAAGCTAGTAGAGAAATGTCCACCTCTGGACCTTACAGCTTCGTTATACACTTCATTGCCCTAGAAGTCTCTAAGGAAGCTCTCTCATGCACCTGACTTCACGACACATCCTGTTAGACCATGTTTAGTCTAAAATAGGGTGTCACCCTCATGCCAAGAAAACATCCGCACTTTCCAGGAAATAACAGGAATATTCCTCCTTTTGTTTAACCTATAATTAAGCCATTACTTAAATAGAGAGGCAAAAGGAACTGAGGCCCAGTTCTCCTCCGTGGGGAAGGGCTCTGTTCTGTCTGTGGGGCAGACTTCCTCTACTTCCTAAATAAAACTCTTTCACTCTATACTGTCGGCCAGCTCCTGAATTCTTTCTTGTGCAGAGCCAGACCCCACTTGGACATGAAGTGCTTCCCGGCATTGGGAATCATGTTCCTGTGCCATAGTCAATCATCCATTCTCTCTCCCAGGTCCTAGGGGAGACTGGGGAAGAGAGTAGAGAGTTACCCACAGTGGACTGGAGATGACACATGGAGTGACACCTGCTTGTCTAGTCCAACGAGTAAATAAATATGGTAAATGTTCAAGTCCAGTGGTGACCAGTGAAAGAGAGACTTCCGGCTTCAGAGGACTTTCCCGGGCCCTTAACTGTTAGGTCTTAAGGTGGACACTGCACAGAGTGAGAAGACATTTGTCACGTGTGTTCTCCCCACAGTGTGGAAAGCGCTCTGGAGGCTGGATCCCTCTGGTCACTTCTGCTCTCTGTCCAGCTCCCTGCTGTAGTGCTCAGGTGCTTTGCTGGCTGAGATGGTTTCAGAAATGCCAGGTTTCCACCCTGTCAGTGCACTCCATGTGCCCTGGCACTGTGTGGCTGTGATACCCACTAACCTGATGTGCCATTGTTAGCTCATGGTTGTGCCGCAGACCGGCCTCTACAACAGCTGGTGGTGTGTGATATTCCTGAGCTTGAAGACAGCATCACCAGCACGGTGCCCAGTTCTCTGCTTTGCCTCATTTCTACCCCTGGTCAAGCTTCTCAGAAATGCTGACCCTTGAGAGAGGGAATGAGAGGAAGCAGATGGACTTCCCAAACTGTCCTACCAGTAGGTGGGATTTTTTACAACATCAATGCTTTGCACATACGCCTGGCTTCAGAATTTTGGAGGGACTAGAATGACTAGTCCTATCACAACAAATGCAGAATTCGCCCTGCTGTGAGTGGCAGGAGCTGGACCTTTCCTTCTCGCTGTGTCTTAGCATCTAACATAACACAGAGCCTGGCCCAGCTTCCAGACTCCATGAGTTAACGGTTGCATTGATTTTGAAATGAATTTTCTGTTTTTCTGACTAGCAAGCAACACAATTTTGAGGTCATTTTCTAACAGGAGAAGTGCTTGCCATGACACCTGAACTTGAAGAGCTCAATTTGTCCTGGAACAATAATGTGGGAGGAAATTTGCCTCTGATCTTCCAGAAGCTCCAGAATGGGACCAAGGTACAAACGCTGGAGCTTGTGGACTGTGCCCTCACGTCAGAAGACGGGGCCTTTGTGGGTGAGTGGAGTTTGGAGAGTCCATCCCAGAAGATGCCTGTGATTGGATAGTGTGGGGATCTAAGTTTGCTTTTTTGTCTTGTCCTGAATTTTATTTATTTTTATTTTTTAGGGTTCATTGAGGGTACACAGAATTAGGTTATACTGATTGCATTTGTTAGGTAATTGTAACTACCCCCTGGATGTGTGTCATACACCTTGACCACCCAAGTCCCTCTTCCTCTCCTCTCCCCACTTGCTCATTCCGCTGTCCCCACCATGTATTAGCTAACCTATTGTCTTCATATTAGAATTGATTATATTGGATTCTTGCTTCTCTATTCTTGTGATGCTTTACTAAGAGGAAAATATTCCACCTCCTTCCAGGTTAACACAAAAGATGTGAAGCTGCCATTTTTTTTAGTGGCTGAATAGTATTCCATGGTGTACATATACTACAGCTTGTTAATCCATTCCTGGGTTGGTGGGTGTTTAGGTTGTTTCCACGATTTGGCAATTCTTGTCCTGAATTTAAAGGGAGACTCCCTCTGTCCCGAGGGCTTAGGAGGCTGCTCCCTCCTCCTGCCTGCGGCCCTGCATTTTAACGGTGCTGCTCTGCTGTGTCCATCTTTCTCCCAGGCCAGCTGCTGCCTGTGCTGCAAAGCCTTGAGGTGCTTGACCTCTCCATGAACAGACAGGTCGGTTGCAGTCTGAACAGGATTGCTCTGGGATTAAAATGCACCTCAAACCTGAAGGTGTTGAAGTTACAATCATGTGGGTTATCACCAAAGAGTATCAAAATACTGGGTGAGTTAACAATGGCTAAATTTAAAATTACATAGAAGTATGTTAAGGCTATTAGGAAATACAATAAAACATAAACAGTGATTATGTCGGGGAATAAGATTATAAGTTTTAAGGCAGTGCCTGTGGCTCTGTAGGTAAGGTGCTGGCCCCTTAAACCGAGGGTGGTGGGTTTGAACCTGGCTTCGGCCAAACTGCAACAAAAAAATAGCCGGGTGTTGTGGCGGGAGCCTGTAGTCCCAGCTACTCGGAAGGCTGAGGCAAGAGAATTGCCTAAGCCCAAGAGTTGGAGGTTGCTGTGAGCTGTGATGTCATAGCTCTCTACTGAGGGCGACACAGTGAGCCTCTGTCTCTTAAAAAAAAAAAGTTATAAGCTTTAAAGATAATTTAAATCTGTTTTATTTATTTTCTAAAAAATTTTTTTTAACAAGGGACATACACTTTTGTTTTTATAACAATAAGCTTTTGAAGTGGCTGACTCTGAAAAAGCCAGTCCATTTCAGGTTTGAGATAGACATTGAGCAAAATGGAAGTTTCTTTGCTACTAAAGCTGCCAGGTTTTCTCTTACTTTTGAAACCTTCACTGTTAGGGACAGGTGGGGAGCAGGTAAGAAGAAAAAGAAAAGCCCACAATCGCTAAGACAGAGGAAACAGAAGTTCCTTCACTTAGACGCAAGCAGCGTAGGGAGATGGACTATTCAGGGCTACTAAGAAAAGCAGAACTAGCCGGGGGCAGCGCCTGTGGCTCAAAGGAATGGGGTGCCAGCCCCATATGGCGGGTTCAAACCCAGCTCCGGTGACAACTAGCCAGGGCTATGGTTGGAAAGCTTTGAAATCCAGGTACCGCTCAACTCCTAAGACCCTCCACAGAAGGACTGATCAATGGGAATCTTTTAAAGATGAACCTGGTCAGCATCCCATGGTTAATCAATGCCCTGCTAATGTCTTGGAGACTTTCCAAAGGAGAAGTTAAGGAATAGTGTGGAGTCAGCTTGACAGAGACCTCAGGTGAGCCAGTCATTGAACAGATGAGGAAAATGAGACTTCCCAGAAGGCAGTGGGTAGGTACTACCCCAACATTCAGACACCAGTTAAGAAATGCAAGAACAGCAGATGTGGGTGGAGCAAAACTAGGAACTGGGGAATAAATACAAGGGGAAAAGTGGGGAAAGGATCATTCCCCATATGGCAGGGACAACACACACCTGCCTCATAGGTGGGCTCCTTCTGCTTATAAACAAAGGTATGTTTCATAAAATTGTCCTCATCGCCTGCTGCTGCTCTGTGACTTCCTCGCCCCACACCTTCCACCTTCTCTGTCCCTGCTGTGTGACTTCCTCTCCCCACACCTTCTCCCTCTCTGCTGTGTGACTTCCTCT